ATTGATAAATTATTCTATTGAAGTTCGCTAATATAATATATAAGCATACTAGTTTTGTGACTGTAAAAACATTATAATTTATATTTGCGGAATTTGAAAGGCGAATACACAATCATGTAAATTACTTTCAAAAGACTTGCATACAAAGATATTGTATTCATGCTCTTTTAAGTCTACATGTCTGTATCACAACTAATTTCGCTATAGTCATCCATTAAGGTGTAATTAATCATAAAGTTTTAGCAAAAATTCTCATAATTGTCTAAATGTGCTTAAACTTCTTCAGTAGTGTGGGTAATAGTTTTGGTAAGGAGACAATAATCAAGAATTACTGTAAATATTTAGACCCAAGTAATTGTATTAATACAAAATGTATACAAATTTACACCACAATTTCTTAGCAAAGCGTTTTTGCTTTTCTTTCAACAATGAAAATATTTCAGATAAAAGATATTCGCATACAGTGTTCACAATATTTATATTTATACTTATATATATATTTATTTATATTTATTTCGAAAATCCTTCTGAAACACCTGTGTGTTTGTGTGTGCGTTGCGTGACTTGCACGTACAAAAATCATTTATTATTGCCATGCAGATAATATATTACATATGTACAGAAAATATACACAGCAATGCTTAATGCATATTTTTTTTAATGATTATAGAGCAAGAGATTTTTTTATTTTTGGAATTGGAATTTTCACTCAACAAAAAAACAAACGAATTTCAATGAAAGAGAAAAGGTTTTCGCATATAATCGTATGAGTCAAGCTTTCAAGAATAATGTCCTTACACACTCTTTACCAGGCTCCTCTCAATATATATAAGATCGTCTATTACAGAAATTTTTGAATTAATATTTTATGAATATCTGTTAAAGTCAGTACCAAATACCAAATAATACTTACAAAATTACACAGCCCGCCTTTCATATCATCTGATGTTTACCACAAATTTTAGGCGAGTATCTTTTTTTTTTTTTTTTTGTTAATGTTTAAGTTATTTACCTTAAAGTTGAACTTTAAATGGTCCAATTAAATGTTTGTCCGTATGAGAGCGGCACATAATGGATTATTCTAGGCCAATCCCACCAAACTTATACAACAAAGCCCTCCTGGCTGATAATCCCTCTTTAGGGACCGTTTGTGCAGGCTCATTGACCTTCGACAGGGACTGTTTTCATTCGGTGTTGCTGCTACTAAGCCACTTTTCAACACCAGTCAACTGCCGCTTCACAAATGGTGAATGGATGTTACGACTGAGCAGATGAAAATTGGGCAAATGAGCTCATGTGTTATTCTTATATCGAACTTCCTTTTTTGCCCAGCCGTGTTTGCATGACAGTTAAACTTAATGATTTCCAATATTTTATTGATATTTTCTGCAATTGGCCTTTTACGCCATAGATCATCTTTTAGAATAAAATTACCAGAACGAAATCGACGAAACCGAAGTGAGGCATGATATACATTTACAGTTTCTGGACCAAACACATCTATTAACATTTTTAGCTACCTGAATTTCATTTTCGCCTTTATTGTGGAAAAATTATTATACAATTTATATTATATCTTCTCTTTCCTGGTGTCCATCTTGGACATGTGCTGAAGTGTTACTGAGTTAAATCATCATCGCGTCCTCCATAATATTTTCGCAAGGCAAAGGATCATCTTTCTACGCTATCTAAAGCAATTCAATCGCATTTATAGTACATGCTGACGATAAATTAAGTAATTTTATGGATCAATAATCTCAGAAAGGAAATAAAAAAGGTTGTTTTTATGGCAAAAAAGTTTTATTTATTAATTTTTTTCAAAAAATTCAATAATATAATAATTATTTTAAAAAAATTTAAATTTTAAAATTGAATAAATGTAACATACTATTTTTGCACAGTGCAATGATTTTTGATCAGGATTTAAAAAAAAATTAAGCTCATTTATAAAAATGGTATTAAAAAGTATACTCGTACTTGATTTATTTTAATGGATCTTCTGAGCGATGAAAAGTAATATAAATACAAAGTTAAAATTTTTTAATTATCGCCTTAAAAAAATGTAACTTTGTACGTTGAAACAATAACCTGCCATTTGTATTCGAGACCTTTGTTTTACTTTTTTAGTTGGAAAAAAATTTAAAATAAACATGTTTTTCTTTTATTAATGTAAATATTTATATACTATATAGACAACGTATATGCATTTTCGATGCACACTGTACATACTCGAATACACACACGACATATTCCTCTCAAACTGTCATCGTTACTCTCACGTGTTGACGATTATGTTGTCATGTTTGCACCAAAATCGTTACCTGTTTGCCTTGCGTTGGGATAAGGCAATAAATTCAAAAACTTATACTATTGTGAGAATATATTATTCTTTTTTGCCACAATTGTTCGTACTCTAACCTAAAAATAATACAACAGTTGGCAAAGCTAACAAAAATGCTTATTTGCTTTAAGCACCCAAAGAAAAGCTCTTTATCATTAATTTATGTTGAAGAAAACAGCGTATTTAAGCGATTTATCATTTGCAACAAGGTGCTCCATCATTTTCAATGTACAACTAAATTGTTTCGAAATAATTTTGGAACAAAAGAAACATGTGTAGACTATAGTTAAACACTTAAGCATATATATGTGTATGTGTAATAGCATAAATTGAAGCAAAGCAAAAGTGTGTGCAATAATATTGTTGCAGACAAAATTTAGTATAAATATGTCTCATAATACATACACACAAACGAGTAGGTACACATGAGCTTATGTCTAGGCTACTGAAGCATTTAAACGCATAACAACGATTAATCATTTGAACAATTACAAACAGGAACCCCCGAAACTATGACAGACCAAACTAGCAACATTTGCCCGGGACGCTGACTTTGCACCTCAAATGAATCTGTACATACGTGTATGTCTGTGTATTTAGCTTACAGTTTATCGTAAACACACAGCCAATAATGTGCTTACCATACTCCAGCTGTCTAATGATGATTATGTTTATAGTTCTAAAGCTTTTTCATCTCTAGTATTTCTGCAGCTAATGGTATATGCTTACAAACCTTTATGTATTAGGTGTAGTAAAAAGAAATCCATTATTTTTGCATGAAATTGAAAGCCTAAAATTTTTTACTTTTCCCATCCAGCTTTATGCAAATGGTTCCAAGCGACAATGTCCATGATTTTATCGAGATATTTTGTTAAACATCTTTTAACATCACGTTTATAGCCGCCTGGCTTGCGTTTTCGTCCGTATCATAGAAAAACTGTATTTCTCTTTGCTAGTTTCCACCTTTGACGAACGCACAAACAAATCAAATCAACCAATCCCAAATCAGTCGGCAAATCTTTTTAGTCCAATGTCGTATTTTAACGCCATCCAGCGGAGCCCGCTCAGACTTATACATCGTGCGATATAGATAAATAATGTCATCTATTGGAAAAATAATAAATCTATTTTGACTACAGCTAATAAATAAATATATCAAAAGAAAATACGAATAGCAACGCAATCCTTCTTAACTAATGCAAATTTAAATTAGATTTTGTATTTTCAAAATATATAAACTCCTTTGTACAATCTGTAGAATGAAATTTTCTAGCTAAACTGCAGCAAGCGCGCAACCAGAATTTTTGAATTTTAATTTATTTGCATTTGGCTTGAGCAATTTTTATTCATAATAAAATTTATTTTCTGCGACCAAACCTTAAAAGCGGTCTTTTTGTCATATTGCTTTATTGTTATAAAAATTAATAATAAATTCACTCCCTACAAGGTAACCCAGTGGGCAGAATAATATCGGATTTGACTTATCCTGTCAATCTATTGTGCCTACGCCAGTGATCAAGGTATCTTTTCAGTGACTACACTGTGTGCTTCAAACATATATTGAAGGCATTACTGTTGATGCGAAATTGCCAACCGCTTTAGTGGGAAATTCAGATTTCTGGTAGACAATCAAGTGGCAATTTAAGTGGCTAAGTGTGTCAATACAAACTTCATGTGATAAAATTTCAAATCAATTAGTCGGCAATTCTAGGATATTACAAAATCTTTTCTCAAATCGATTTTTATTTCAAGTATTTAACGGAATATTAAACGACTAGCTAAGAGTACTATTCATATTAGCTGCTCAAGGAAATTTTTTTTAATAATTAAATTGACATTTATTTTATTTTTTATATCTTTTTTTACAAAAATTTAACTACTCTTAATTGCTTTGCTGAAAGTTTAAATAAAAAGGCTTAAGTTTTTGTACGATATAAGTTCATAAATATGGTTAAACATATATGCACCAACAAAAAAAAAAGCTCCATGAGATTAGAGTCTAAAACAGCACGCGAAAATTCAAAAATCACCCTTTCTTTTTAACAATACTCATAAATGTCTCGTGTATGCAAATTGTTCTTACCATTGTTTATGTTTATGCGTTTGCCACCACGTAATGGTTTCGAGCCGATTCCGCAGCTAAATTTATATGTCATACTTTTAGCTTCACTGTCAGTGTCACACATTGCCGTTTCCTCTGATTTTCGTACGCTACATAAATTATTGTTTTAATTTACAATTTTAGTACTGAAATATTAATAAATATATGCACAATTTATTCACGAATTTATTATGGCTTAATTTTGTTTGAAACGCAAGCGTGCTGCTACGAATTCTCTCTCTCTATCTCTCTCTGTTGGATCTACATACAGTTGTATAGAGATAACATGCAAGCATAAGAGTAACAACAAACCGTAAAACGTATCGGCATAATTTAGCATTTGTCATGCGACGTGCGTGTGCTTAAGTGTTTACAAACACATATTTATGTACACATGTCAGAAGCAACAACGAGCGCTCCAGGTTGAAAATTTAAAGCATTCGTATACTTAAAACATTTTTTTTTTAAATTTATTTTTAATATTATTATTATTATTTTTTTTGCTAAAACTTATTTCAACACATCTTTCATCTGTCTATTTCTGATTCCCTTTTGCAGCTTGGCACTTTAGTGCCCATTGCCACGCCCGCCCCACCGACCACAGTCGCACCGCCAGTACGCGTAGATATACAATCATCGAATCTGCTCAATAATCTGCCGCCACTACTGAACACGCCAACGGTAAGTGAAAGCAACTGATTTTAAATGTTATTTTTGAATTTATTTTTAGAGAGTGCTCAATTGTGTGCCAAATATTAATAGTTTTGTAGATAATATTACCAAAGAAAATATATTTACATTTTATACGGTGTGAATAATCAAGGCATGAGGAACATTTTTCCACAAAAAAAAAATATGCAATATTTTTAAGCCTCAAATATTTTTAATTTTTTTATGTAAAACTTATACGTATTCAAAAAAAAGTATATATACTGCCTTAAAATAAATAACAATTTTTAGCACCTACAAATCGGAACATACTCAATATTTAGTGTCAGCAAGCTCATATAAATATATCTAAATACAAAATTACGCTTGCAAATTAATTACATATTTAACACGCAACACATATGATAAACGTGCACTTTACTCAGACCCTCAGCCATCAACACTAGAGCTACATATAAAAATATTTTAATATTTTTATTTATTAATTTATTTTTCTTAAACAAATTACACTTAATAATTTGTTTCGTTATTTCACATTTTTTGTTCCAATATTTATATAAATCACATTGAGTTTATGACCAACTCCAAGGGAGTCACGATTGTTTTCATGCCAAACTGCTAATAAGTTGAATACCTTTCACTTTATTTATATTGTGAAAGCGCAGTATTTTTTAGAATCTTTTTTTCCACTTTTATTCGCTTCCAAATGTAAATAGACTTGTAGAAGGAAAACTATAAGTTTCGGTGGAAGTTCGTTAAGTCGATTTGGAAATTATTCTTCTCTTTTGCTACACTTTGGAGTTTATTCTGTAAATATGCTTTTGTATTCGAAATTTATTTTATCTCTGCTCAGTTTTTTGCGCTTGCCAAGAAATATTATTTTCTCTAGAGATTGCTCAAAAAAGTCTTATTAATTTCGTTTTTAGTTTAATTTTTTATTTTGCGTACGCTGTTAGCTTCATTCTTCTCTCAATATTTAAAACCGAAAATTTTTGCTTTCATTATTTAAGTGGTTATGGGTTTTGCTTTTATTTTCTACTCTATCCTACTTACCTACTTTACATTATGAATAGTTATAAATAGTAATCAAAGTCATTTATTTGAATATGAAAATTATTTTAATGGAGATTTTAAAACTATTTGCTGAATTCGTTTGAAATCGCATTTAAAATGGATGCCTTTGTGGCGGTGAAAGATTATTTATTTATTTTTCTTTTTAATTTTTTTTCTTTTTCCAAATAACATACAAAGCCCAACTATTATAAATGTAACAAACTTAGGAGAAAGTATTTTTATATGCAATTTAAATTAGAATTTTTTTAAGCATCCTTAGGCCTATTGGTCTTATTACAGAGATTACCTCACCTTTTAAAATACTCAAACCACTTGGTATGTGCTTATGAAATTCAGGAGATTAATGATTTCTACCGATACAAGCTCTACAAGGTAATCCCGGAAGAAATTTTCGGGTAAACATTAACGAACAGTTCGAAGAGATGACAGTGCCAGCTGTATTGCTCTACCGAGACTGGCTCATCGTCATTTGAGAAGCACTCCATACTTCGGCGGTGAGTTCACAAAAGATAGTAGAGTAAACACTTTGTTCCGTCTACTTCACTCTGCCACCTGCTGTTGTCCGTTCTGGTGAACGGTGAACAAGTGGTTGTCCTTGTTATACGAGTATACAGAGTTTACCTTTATTATGATTGTTCCCTCTTCCGTAGTATTGACTGTGCGGACCATTCCCTCGGCTACGCAATACTCCTGCTATCGAGAGTTCGAGTCGAGGGGGGTAAGATTGCTTTGGAGAGACTTAAACGCAGCCTGGTCGGTCAAATAGGCTTATAATACGCTGCAGTGGTCGCAAAGTATTTTATTTAATCACATAGCAAGAGGTTCAGAGCACATATTAAAATTTAAAAAGTCAGCCTACAGCACTTTTAGGAATTCCTTACTTCCAATTGATTTTATTCTTAAGCAAAACATAACATTTACAATATGCAAAGACAAGGGTCATTACCACTAAATTACCCTTAAACATAGCAATGACATTAAAATAAATCTCTGACAGTTTTCTAATTAAATTTTTCCGAATCAGTTGAACATAAATATTTAAACATATATTTCCGCATAATCCGCGCCTACTTTCATACACAATGCAATCAAATCCATACTAATTTATTTTAATAGGTCAAAGGGCTAAGCCACAAATAAAATGGAATTGAATGGAAAATGAGTGAAAAAACCCTTTGAGAGCAAAAAAAAAGAAATTGAAATTGAATAATGTCACTGACAGCGGCAAATAAATGAATATGCGCATACATATGGCAAAGTATTTACACTAGATATGTATGCGCGGTTATATAGCAAGATGGTTGTGAGTGCAATATAAAGGCAGCTAGTTACATTGAGTGACAAAATTGCATATTAAATTGTCACTCAAATATGTCAGCTCATTCAATGTCAGTGCACTGGCGGAAGTCAATAAATAAGATTAAGGAAACATATTTTGTCTGCTGAAAAGTAATGTAATGTTTTGGAACCTAACTTTTTCTTACTCAGGAATCCGCATGCAAAACAAAATAAATGACTTTCTTTGTTCATTCTTTTTTTTTATTAACAGAAATGTTAATGGAAAGAATTTAATGTAGTTTAACAAAAAACGATTAATTTTAAAAAGTATTGTATTCCAGAAGGGCCTCCGAATTAAAGAAATCTGGCGGCGAGGAAGATATTTCTGCTTCTAATTATCCGAAAACTGAAAAGCAAAAACAATTTAGTATTATAATGAATTAATACATGTAATCACCGAACTAGTGATGAAATGGCGGCTTCAAAAAAAATCAGTTTTTGTGTGAAATTCTATAATTCAAAAAAATCGAAATTATTAACCATTTGTTGAGTCCGACCGTCGCTAAAGTACTGCTTCGATTGCTCAAGAGCTACATATTGCTCGAAACCCCGTTTGGTATCATCTGAATAAGACAATAATTGAAACCTTCAAATTTATGCGATAATAATGGATTTCTTTTTACTAATCCACAATATGTGCATTCGAAAAATTAAAAAATAATAGATTTTTGAAAATTACAAATGGATATATAGCTCCCGAGCATTTAAAAAATTCGTAAAACTTCGACTATATATCTTCTTTTTCAGATTAAAAAATAAGAATTTTCAATTTATATTCAATATAAAAACTGAGTCAATTAGATAGATAAAAAATATTTATATATTAAAGGGAATAAGTGATTGAATTTACATAATAATGGTACTAGGCAAGTACGTATTGTATAAATAAGAAATGGGTTTTCTCTCGGAAATCCTCTGGTGGCGCAATTAGATATATTTGGTTAGATGGAACTAGTTGTCTCTAGCGTTCTGCGTCTCTATGCATGCTGATATAATCATCAATTAGTGATGTAGTCACTTTGCTGATTCATTGTTTTGCACGCTTTCTTTGCCAAATAAGATCGGCCCCTATCTGCCGAATGTCGAGCGCTCACTTTCCAATATCTCCGCATATTTTCGACATTGCCTTAAATTGATGTTCTTTACTAGATCTAAACTGAACGCAAATGGGCAATGCTTTGTTGCTAACAAGAACAAACCCCAGAACGCATAATTTTCGCAATGCTGTATATTTCTTAAATATGTTAGCATAACAAAAGAAACCTGTTTTTTGTAATCGCGCCTCACCTTCCTAAATGTGACTGGTAAGTCCATAATCCGTAAATAGATTTTATTGTGAAAGGACACAATCGTTTAGCCAGTTAATGAGCTATCTTATTGCCTTCAACCCCCTCTCTTCCTATCCTTGTCGGCCAGTGTTTTGTTCACCTCTTTATACTGAGCAACCACAGAAAATTTCGGACAATTTGAGTTCCTACAAAATCTCTTTTTGTACAGGCTTCTAACCAAAAATATTTTCTAGCTGCCGCAAGCTCCCCGAAATCCAGCTAGGGAAGACTATTCATGTCTTACGAATATGCTTATCTGTCGGCTTGTCCTCAGTTTTAGCTGATTTGAAGGGCTTAAATTCGCAGCAGCTATCAGTGCCTGGTTTTAAGCAATAATAATCGCTGGTGGTGCACCCCAAATGGCATGAAGCGGTGTAATTTGTGTTGTTTCGACTAATTCCAATACGTTAAAAACCCTCTTCAACCTGTCCTATTATTTTATATTAGCCTTTCAGCTTACCAAAATATCGTTAAAATTTATTGACTTAACAATTGAAATGACACCTTGTGTGAGGACACTTCAAGTTAAACTTAATAAACTCGAACATGAATATAGGGCTGCAGATGTCTTCTTTACTAGCTCATCCATATTGAACCTACAGGACTACATCATTCCTAATTACCCAGAATTAAGTTTAATTGTAGAATGACTGGCATCTTTGGTTTGATAAAAGTTGAAATGTTTTCAAAAAAAAAATATTTTAGGTTTTTTAACATTGTTTTTCAAGAGAGTTATATTAAACAACCCATAAAAAAAATTACTTACAAAAGCAAGACGTTTTCGGCAAACAAAAATAATGTTTAAGGAAATTTATGCATATTCTTTAAACCTCTCAAAGTTCAAATTCCGGCAGTATTGTAATCCACATAAACACTTTTTTTGTTTCGAAAGCCTACGCGCAAAAATAACTCTAATGAAATCGAATAAAAAAAATCGCAAATAAAAAACTCTATTCATGTTTATATAACAAACTTTTTTGTTATAATGTTCTCGGAAATGAGTCTGTGTATACACCTACCTTTATGCATATGTAGATGCCCACATAAACTCAATTGGAGACAATTTGCTTGACAATTCCAAGGAAAATAAATGCATAGCGGAAGTTTGTAGAAAAGGAACAAAAGAGATAGCGAGACCCAAAAGTAAAAGCAAAAGTGAAAGTTTAACTAATTCACACAAATACATATGAATACGTATTGGTAGGAAAATCTGCCCTATTGAGGTCACAGGTGACTGTAACTGCTGTGGCACGCAGGTGAAAAGCAATGAATTGAGTAGCTGAAAAACTGTAAACTATTCCCTGTGCTTAAACTTGCATCTACACTACTACATACTCGTATGTACTTACGAGATAAATATGCGTGTGCGTTGTTAGACAAACATAGAAAAGCGATGGCAACAAAGGTTAGTTCTTCTATACTAATGTCGATAGCCTTATGTGCGTGTGTGTGTGTGGTAAACATGGTGTCGAAACCAAATTGAAACTTGTTTGCGCTCAATTTGACTTCAGGTAATTTAATTCAATGCAAAATTTATACACCTCAAATGTTTGGCCGGAGACAATAGACAGCAAACAAAAGAGCGCCCTTTTTAAAGGACGCATCTCTCTATGTGCTTGTGTGTGCTTGTGTGTGACGTATAAATCCAATCAAATCGTTTACATGCCTAGTAACATTTAAGCGTATGCAAACACTGAACTTTTCTTCATACATACATACGCATGTACATATACAATTCAACGAGTTCACTTGCCTAACGGCATCATTGATTGTTGTTACGACAATTTTACCCAATCAAGTCATCCAGCGTCTTTCTGCTACTTTTCACTTTTTTCCATCAGCTTAGGTCGATTTGCGTGTATGTGTTTACTTTTTATGTGCACTTTTTTCATTGTGTCTGCGTATCTCTTTCTTTCATTGCTCGGCAGACAGCCTGCATTAAAATTTCACGAGCAATGAGCCGTTCGGCGTAGCATATGACTTTCCACCGCTTTCCTCTTCAATTTTCTGCTTGAAGTCATCTTAGTACCACCTCATAATGCTGATTGTTTGTAGCCAATCCCTTTTTCCTATGTTTCTCCAATAGTTAAAAAAATATTGCATTTTTTCTACAAGGAAGTTGTCGCATTTTATGTTTCCTCGTGCGAAGGAGACGCATTCTATCTTTTTTTTGGATTTTATGACAGTCAATGAATTGTTCTGATTAAAGCCTACGCGCTTTAGTGCTTCTATTCTGATCGATAAAAGGGTGACCAGGTGGTGAACTCTGCGATTTTAGCGATTATAGGCTGTATGCAAAATCTGAGAACTGTTAAAAAATTATTTATAGGACGGCATAAGATAATATTAACGAATTGTCTATAATAATTTATTAAATTTAACTTTTCAGTATCGAATACAAACAGAATTTTATTTGAATATGTAGAACTTGTTGAATTACAGTGTAAAATTTTTTTGAAAAATGTTACTGTCACTTATGTATTATATTTATCGCATTATTGTTATCCTAAAAATCCAAGATCTTCTTAGCCATCAATCCTGGCTTGGGGAACGCTTGTGCCGGCGCACTGTTCTTCGATAGCAACCCTTTTCTCTTGACTTTGCTACAAAGGAGTGTCATTTCATAACTAATCACTATCCGCTTCAGAAATATGTCGGTTTTATTGATTTTTTATACAGCAGCAGTTCGCAGTTGGAGAATTTTAATCATTAACTCATGTGGCGTAGGACCCACACAATAAGTCTCTTTGTGCAACCAGCATTTTTGAAGTGTTTTAACAGTAACTTTCGCTTTGGGTTTAGCTTCTCATGGGAATGACGGTTTAACTCGACTTTTTCGATTTGTTTTTTTTTTTTTTGATAATTTCGACAAATTCGAACTTATATCAAAATTATCGGAACGAAATCGACGAAATCAAGATTTTACATGATTGGCTGTTACAGTCTCAGTATCATAGAAACTATTTACATTTCGCATTATCGACTTTATCGAAGTTTAATTGTAGATTATAACGTACATTTTCTCCATCTTTTATATGTGTTAAAGCACTACTGACCTAAGTGAATAACAGTTCTCTAAAAAACATTTCTAAGATTTTTCAAAATATGATCTTTTTAACGTAGCTTAGCGTAGTCCAATGGCGTTTATAGAACCCGTCATACAGATCACGGAAGATATGTATTACCGAAATAATGGATTATTTTTTACTAGTCTTGATACTTTATTAATTTATTAGAATGTTTTTTTTCTAATATTTTATTATTCTTATTGATTAACGTTTTCTATTTCTATATAACTAATTTGAATTTTTTTTTTTTTGTAATTCATTTACTTTTTTGTAAAAAAAATAACCTTTTTGTTTTGCTGAAAATTCTTAAGTGTTTACAAAGCGTCAATTATATTTTATATATTTTTTTATTGTTTTTTTGATTAATGTTACGTTTTTATAAAACTCGTTTTGTATTTATATAATATGTTTTTTCTGTTTAATTTTTTTGTTTTATTTTAGTGCTTGTTAACTGGTTGTGTTTCCAGTGAATACTTATTAGCGAAATATTGTTTTATTAAATTGTATACATATATCTTGTGTTGATATATGTAGACCATAGCCTATATCAAAGCACCTCAGGCACCTACAAAGCAAACTTACTAAACAACAACAACATCAACAGCAATAATTACATTTTGAATAATAAACAGAAACATTTAAAAAGCAATACAACACCAAATTTAGGTGCAGATCAAATAATTATTTAAAAACTTTTACTTATTTCATTACACTATTTACTTAACTACAATAAAAAAACAGCAAAAAGAAAAACTATGAATCATGCAGACAACAACAATTAGCATAATTTGTAATAAAACACTCGAAATGCCAAAAGAAATTTGTAATATTGTAAAAATTATTATATTTTAAACTTAATTGCTGCCACAATCCAATGGTAAATTGCAGTTTACAACAGCGCCAGAGTATGAAACGGTAAATATGTAGAAAATCAGTTAAAAAATTTAATAAAATAATGCAATTGCAGGAAAAAACTGATTGTTTTTTTAATATTGCTCTTTTCATTTTTTCTTTTGGTAGTCAGTTGTATGTAGTAGCATTTGCTGTTGTTGTTGCTTACTTTATTTGCAAATGAAATTTTATGCCGCATGCAATTATAACGTTAGCATTTGTATTTAGCATTAATATAAAACACCGCCGAACATATATTCTTTTATCGGATTTATTATTATGTATATTTTATGAAAAGTGACCTTTTATCTAAGAGCGGAAAAAAACGTTCACGCGCTTATGCGTTTTTATCGCAGACGCGTAAAAAATGTTCATATCTCAACTGCATGCAAACACACTAGCATACACACACACCCGCCCACCAATTCATAATGCAATAAAATGATTTGCGTTCAACGCATATGTCAGCTTGAAGCAGGCATCATGCCAATAACGGTATTTTTAACATTTGCCTCCACCATTAAATTATACAATTCTTATATATGCAGCCAACGTGTCGTATGAGCAACATATACTTTTTATACCTTCATATGTGCATATGTATGGCTTTTAACTTGCTTTCTCACTTCCGCTATGCACATGTATGTGTTACCAATACATTCACGCGTTCTGCACTGTTAACTGGTAACTTTACCGTATTTTTTTCTTTTTTTTTTGCTGCTTACCTTTCACCTCCAAATATATATGTAAATATACGAACATCAGTTTCGGCGTGTGGGTTCATAGCTTTGATCAATTCTTTTTTTTTTTTTTTTTGGAGTCATTCTTTGCATTTCACTTTATTTAATTTCATTTTCTGTTGATTTTATTGAATTCTTTGACGCCTTTACACTTATATGTGTTTGTCACATTCAACAGCGTTGCCGTTATTTCTTTTTCCGCTTTAATTATGTTCCTTTAATTTTTTAATTTATTTTTTATTCATTTCCGCCTTTTTATTGCTCAAACTACACACCTTTTGCACAGGTGCAATCGTTCGCATATGCATTTGTGATGTTCCACTTGGCGCTCTTTAGTTAAATGGTCGTGTCGATTGTCACTCAACGGCATTAACGGCAATATCTGCTGCTGCTGTGTGCGAATCAATTTAAAATTTTCACTGCATGCAAAATGTGAGGCAGTGTGTGCATACTGCAGTTGTCGTTGCTATTTTGGCTGCAATTATTGTTGCTGGTGATGTTGGGGAAATTCAGTTTGGTTGTGATGTTGCTGAAAAACTTGTTAAAATAAAAGAGCAAAAATGCGATATGTTTTAAATGAATATTCTGCGAGCGATTTAAATGCGTTTGAGGTATGGAATGTAGCAAATTTCAGCTCAATATCACTTAAGTGAAAAAAAAAATTTTATTCCTACCATAGCTCATATTTTGTCGTGGTATAGAAATGTTCCTTTGATGGATAGGCGGCAAAAACCAAAAAAAAAAAACAACAAGCAGTTAAAGAAAATTTAAATATGATTGATTTTAATTTCTTGAAAGGTGGCGACAAAATATTCTTAGTTCAAATCTTAATGTTATTATTTTATTTAATGAAAAAAAAAAATATTTTTAATAAAAAGCATTTTATTAACTTATTTTGGGCTTGGACAGTTCGCAACCCAATTTTATCTCGCTAACCGCGTGAAGGGTGGATAGTTAAAGGTCAATGGCATGATCTAGATTATAATAAACAGCTTTTTTCGAAATTTCAGAAGATTTTTTAGCACAGTTATTCCGAACGTTTTAGAAAATTTACTAAGAAATTAATCAAAAAAATATTATAAAGTTTTTAAATATATTTTTTATTTTAAACTGTTTTCATATCTTGTTGCGTTGTTCAAAACTAATTATTTCGTTTCGACTTTGAATAAAAAAGTCGTACTTTCGATCATCTCAGCCACTTTTAAATTATCAACACGTCATAGAGCAAAGTCAAATAATGCCTTAAGCCTGCTTTTGGCACACTTTCGTAATCTAAACTGACGAGACACTTTAGCTTTAAGCAACAGTGACGATTTTAGTTTAACAAAAACAAAATAAGCATATAAAAATAAATGCGGAAAAAGTCAAATCACGTCTGAATGACATTTGCACTTATAACGCCTACAAAATATGCATGGACTAGGCACACATACAAATAAGCAATTCTGTATAAATGCTTCAAAAGTGTTCATGCGTATAAAATGTGTTGGAATATTTTTATTATTTTTCTTTATTTTACACTTAATATGGAGCATTATAGTAAAGTGAAAGCATTTTTCTGGCTTCACCAAACGCGCCCATCTCAAAGAATTTCTTTACGTGCAACGTACATACTTACAGCGCGCATTTCCGTTTTGCATTTTCTGCCATTTTTCATTGGATTAATACACACTCAAAGTGTACTCGTATACATAAATTTTCAAATAAAATTTTATTCCATTGTAAAATGTGTGAATGATGTTACGTATACGCAGAGCTGATCGCGATTTCAGTTGTCATCGTAAATAAAATGAGTAGACATATCAAGTTTATTTCTTTTATGCTCTCATATACACGTAACTACCCAACACATTTTTTATGAATTTGTGTGCGTGGGGGTGTGTGTGATTTCTTGCCATTATTTTTAGCTTCACTTAAAACAGATTCGCATTCTTTGTATTTTTCTTTTGCATTGTAATGGAAAATGTTTCCACTAAATATACTATATTTTATATTATGTAAATGAAATATATACGCATACCTTTCATATTTTTCGTGCATGTCTCTGTCATAATTGTGTCATATATTTTCCTCTTACGTACATGCATTGACACCTAGCGGTGGCAGAATGTTTTGGTGTGCACAAAAAAAAATTAAAAATAAAAAAATTATAGAAAAGTGCGTGTCATTCACTAACACATTTTTAATGCATGCCTGTCTTTTTACTTATTTGAAATATTCATGCGTTCAGATATTGTTCGCACGTACGCTTGGCATGTAAAAGAGCGTAAGAATCAGCTTAGTGCGCCGATTAATTTTAATGCGAGAAAAACGGAGTGTGTCCAAATTATTAAATTTTATGTCAAAAATAAACTTGAACTTCTAGGAAACGAATATGTGTATCAGCAACAAAATTGTTTAACCTTTAGATAACTAAATATTTTAAGCTCCATAAAAATGCAGAAAACATGAATATGCAAATAATTCCAAATTATATAAATTTAAATTAAATTTTTTATCAAAATTTTTTGAAAAATTTTTTGAAATATTTTTTTTTATAAGTTTCTGAAACATGAAATGCCTTTTATAAACTAGAAAATAAACTAAAGATTAATTAAATTTAGTACAAAATCTTTTATATCTTAAATATTATCAAAATGAGCAGTTTTACAAAATGTTGTGTAATCAAGTTTTTTTGTATTGAAATCAGATTTTTTTAGTAATATCTAAGATTTATCCACACAAATTTTCGGCGCAGCTTTTAGTCTAAAAACGAAATTGTTTTTTTAAAAAAATATATTAGTGGTTTAATTGCTATTGAACTCTCTGGCAAAAATTAAAGAATATTCTGCCTATGAGTTTTTAATTTAAGTTTAATTCTAGTTATTTATTACAATTATTGTTTAAATAACCATATCAGCACATATATTTGAGGGCATCAGAAAGCAAAAAGTTGCAATTCCAAAATTTTATACATAAGCATTTTTAATAAATTTTTCGAATTGCTTGCAGCTGAACTCGATTTACACACTTTCATATACACGTAACTGCATTTACTATTAACGATTTGCAATTGCAAACGCATACTTATTTATTTTATTTCACAAGCACAGCTGGTTTTTATTTTTATGCCACTCCGTCGTTAACAACCAAAAATTGACGATTTCAATCAAAATGACATATGTGACATATTTCACAATATTCATTGAATATAACTCAAATATTTCAGTGGCGCTTGTCACAGAGCACAGCGCTACCGAGATATTTCTAAAGAAGATATGTATGTATGCAGGTTTATAGTATATGCTTATTTATGAGCCAAAATATGTTATTTTACGGAAGGTGATAGAGTTGTTCATTTATTTTGCTACTGCGCAATATATGTATACCGCCATAACTACCTCAGGACCATCATAACGTATACGCAACATATTTCGATATTAATCATTTGGTGAGGAGGTCGTGAGAAACAATCAGTTATCCATCTAGCGTTATACAATACACGTTTTTCTGGCTATTTTTTCAAGGGTTAATCATTTTTATGCTTATCCGTTTATTTTTATTTGCCCATCTTCTTGCATTCTTATATCCGCATGTGCTCATAGATCATAGGTGGGGGACAACTGAAAATGTTCCAGCAAACAATTTGACAGCATAACGGTTAGATTGATTAGTAGCTCTCCTGAATGATGAGAAAATATTTATTTAGCGGCACATAGCAGAGCATCGAAAATATATTATTATTTATATGAAAGTAGCGCACAAAAACTGACAACATTTGCCATTTATAAACATATGCATGTATACATTTATCCAGCTATACACTTTCATGTGCTTAATATTGGTTTAAGCAAAGCCTGTATTTACTTGTGTGTACATGTAATGACGTGAAAATAGTAATCACATAGCCATATTTACACATGTAAATGTGAAAGTAATCTTTTCTATTGGATTAATTTACAATCATATTTACATATTAAAATAATTCATATCATAAAGTGACAGAAAATTAAATGCGTAAACAAGATTTTAATTATTACAATTGCGCTTTTGATTGATTACATAAATGGCGTGTGTTGGCAAACATTTTACGAGCAATAATAAAAAAGTATATGTATATATATATATATATATATATATATATATATATANGCGATGTTTATTTGGACCGTGCTCTAAGGACTTTAGTTGCGAATAACTCACGTATTTCGACGGAAGAGGTTGTCAGTGAATTGAACGTCAACAAAAAATTTCAATTTTAGTTTGCACTTGAAATCGGGCACGAACTTATGCACTCATCCAATACTTTTACTTTTTTTTAATTTATTTTATCCTATTTTTTTATAATTTTATTTTGTTTTATTTTCTTCTGTTTAATTTATTTCTGTTTATTTTATTTAATTTTGTTTTATTTTTTAATTTTATTTTCTTCTATTTTAATTTATATCATTTTATTTTATTTCATATTCTTTTATTTTACTTCATTTTATTTTATTGTGCTTTATTTACTTTAATTTAATTTTTTTTTAATTTTATATAATTTCACTTAATCTTTTTTATATTATTTTTGTGATTAACTTAATTTAGCTAATTTATTTCTAGCTTTAGCTCGTTGTAAGTTTAAGTTCAAGTAAATGTTTAACTCACTCAAGCATACAGGTTATTAAATTTATAATATTTTTCTTGAAAATGTAGCTAAAAATTTTTACTTGCACTTTTTTTGTGTGATCGTTTTTCAAAGGGTGTGCTGCAATATACTAATATGCTAACCCTATTTAAAATAAGCTTGAAAGTAGTTTGTTCTTATTTTACAAATATTTTAAAGCTGTTGCAAATGTTGCTTAATACTCACAGTAGCATATTTGAAAGTACTAGTTGAATTTATTTTTATGGACAAAAAAATTACTAATTGAATCAATTCCTTTTATTAAATTCAAATTAATTATCTAATAATGAAAAATTCTTCTCTTTTCAAATTCATTATACGACAATACCAAATTCATACATAAAAAAATGATAATAATATAATAATAAAATAATTAACAAATCAATTTAAATGCTACGTACGCTTGGGTTTACGCTGCGGTGCATTTATCTATGTACATATGAATATTTTAAAACGTAAAAATAACAAAATCATTAATGCGCAAAAATCGACATTCCCTGCTGACCGCACAGTGGTATCCACGCATGGTGAGTTTTGAAAAAAAAACCTAAACAAAAAAAGAAAATTAGAAAGAAACCAAATTTTTAAATCCAAATACAAAGAATATAACAATAACAAAGTTTACAATTTACATTATATAACAAGCTCATTCTATTATCTATTTTATTCATATTTTTTTTTTTGCCCTGCGTAATATTTTTTTTTAATAATTTTTAATTTAATTTTTTTAGTTTTTGTATATTTTTTTACTATTTATTTTTTAATTTTAATTTATTTATTTTTTTTTTGATTTACTTGTTTTGTTATTTACAGTCAGTGGTGTTACAGATTAATTTAATTGCATTTATTTTCAGTTTTTGTGCGTGTTAGCATTGTTTTAATTGCTTGACAAATGATCATAATTATGTGGTGCGCGGTTATCAGTTGATGAATATTCCATTGTACACTTTTCAGACAATTAACTGGGAAAATATTACTCGTTTTATTTTAGTATATTTTTGAATTTTACTTTTTTTATATTTTATCGAGGTTTCTGCTATTTTATTTTTATTTATTTTTTTTTACACCCTGCAAAGAGTGCATAATGACTTTTTAAACCCACCTATGTACTTGTACATATGTATGTTTGCGTCCAACTGTAAATATGCAAATTAATATGCTCACTCACAGGCTTTTAAACATGCATAGTCACTTAACTAAGTATTTTACTACACTCAACTGTGCATATACAAACATTATAAATCATGTTTGTATCGTTGAGTAAATAATTGATTGACATATAAAGAGAATCAAATACAATTATTAATACACACATTGGCTTTAAATTTCAATTGGGAAACACTTCTGTGCAGCTCGAGTGCTGTTAGGTGATATGACATTTACATACACACATACATCTTATATACATAAGCAAACAACACATATTTTTTAAAATTTCCATTAGCTATTAACTCTAAATTCATCACAATTATTATCCATTTTTCGCACAGCTTCGCGTTGCTGCACTCAACGAGCCATATGTTGGCGATCTGCAAGGCATACGTGGCGCAGACTTCGCCTGCTATCGCCAAGGGCGTAGAGCGGGTTTGTTGGGCACCTTCAAAGCCTTCCTGTCATCCAGGTAAATAAGATATATGCATATAAATTAATTATATATATATATATAACGTATACGCAACATATTTCGATATTAATCATTTGGTGAGGAGGTCGTGAACTTTTTTATTATATATATATTTTATAAGAAAAGGCGAAAGGCGAAAGCCCTCTACAATTTAACAGAAGTATTTTTTTATACATTTCATTTCCTTTTGCCTAAATTTACTTGAATAAATCTCTTTAATATTTTTTTTATTTTCTTCCTTACTATTATTTTATTATATTTCATTTAATTATGTATCAATTTAATTTATTTTATTTATTTAGATTTATTTTATTTTATTTACTTTAATTTAAGTTCATTTTATTTGTTTTTATTTTATTTTGTTTGTTTTTATTTAATTTCGTTTTGTGCTAATTTATTTTATTTTATTTTATTGGATGAGTGCATAAGTTCATGCCCGATTCCACTGCATGCCGTTCGAATCGTTTGAGAGTGGCGCTCGTGAAAGAAATATATACATATTATATATCGTTGGAAAGGTGGAAGTCCAAACTGTAAATCAAGCATAAAATTACTTCATTTTAATTTGAGTTGCTTAGTGAAAAGGCGCATGGAAGATGGACAACGAAAAAGATCATATGCGTCATATTATGTTATACGAATTCCGCAAAGGAAAAACAGTAGGCGCTGCAACTAAAGATATTCGCGATGTTTATTTGGACCGTGCTCTAAGGACTTTAGTTGCGAATAACTCACGTATTTCGACGGAAGAGGTTGTCAGTGAATTGAACGTCAACAAAAAATTTCAATTTTATTTTGCACCTGAAATCGGGCACGAACTTATGCACTCATCCATTATTGGCGCTTTGTAACCGCAGAAGCGATTTTTGGCTGAGCTCCTCCTTCAATTTCTGGTTTTGCATCTTAATGTTTTTCCAACAAATGGAGAAAACCACATTTTATACTAAGCCCCCTCCGAACGGCGGATGGTTTTTCGTGTCAGAAATAGACTTGGAGGGGTTGGCATTTATTACCGAGGGGCGACCGCAGTTAGAAAATTTAAAAGAAAAATGATTAGTACTAACTGCGCTTAATATGTACATTTAACCACGTGTTTCAAATCTGAATAGATTATAATTCTGGGCTATGACAAGCCCTTTAGGAACATTAATAAACATTTAAAAGAAAATGTCTTCAACAGCAACTAGAAGGTAATTAATGCGGTTAATACTGAACTTGATAAGATTAGAAAGCAATATTTTTAAGACAGTTTTCTGAAACCGATCTTTAGTCTTCAAAAATGCATTTAAAGCGATTATGTAGAGAAGATAAGAGATGACAAAGGTTACGAAAAAACGCAACAATTTTTTTCTAGTCAACTTGCCAAACTTTTGTTAACACCCTCGTATGCCTGTGACATACCAAGTGGTATGAAAAAGGTTGATTATAAAGATGATCTGAGCCTCAAAGTGAGCACTTCAAAGGCTGAGCATTAACAAATTAGATCCTCAAAGTAGGGGGGGATGCGTAAACTTCAGCGCACGTACATTTCGAACCGAACTCAGTACGTTAAAGGATCACTTTAGCCGGACAAAAGTATACAAAAACATTGTGTGAGAACGAAAAATTCTAGTATAACAGAGCGAAAATGCTGTAAAAGATGCCAGTGTGTGCAAAAAGTAGAAGCGCGAGTATCACTAGTGAAAATGACTCCAACCGTCACTTCTCATACGAGTGGTAAAATGCCATCTTATTTATCTGATGAGCTCGCTAGTAATCCAATGCGTTCATACCATGGACGACTTCATACTTGTAGGAGGAGCGCATGACATATGAACACGCAAATCCCATACAACAGCAGAAACCCAAACCATAGAGCAAACACGCAAGTGCAAATCCCCGATGGTCTAACTTTTCAGACAGATCAAGTACAATTAATTCGATTCTAGTTGTTCACATTTCGTCAATAGTATGCCAAGAGTGAGATTTATTCGCTTAAACGATTCATTACAGCGCGTAGTTTTCTTATAGAGTTAACATCGACACGATAGGCGAATTTCATTGTTAGCAATTCATTATTTATCTTACTGCAAGCCAAAAACTCAACATGCTTAAATTGACCAGTATTTAACTAGTATGACGCTGATGCACGCTCTGAAAACTCTCATTTCTTGGGAGTTCGCTCTTTTATATATGAGACATTAAAAGAGATGAAGGATAACCCTTTTGTGACAAAAACTCAATCCAATTGCATAACATTTCCTACGCCATTTTCGACATCTAGCCTGCACACATCCCGTAGGTCTCAGCTCAATCGATAAGGTGGTTTATATTTTGTCTGCCGGCAATTAATAACTTTACAATTTAAACTTTTAAAAATGAAAGATTTTTATTTAATCATAAAAAATACTTAAGTTGTCGCAAGCAAAACGAGATTACTTTCCACGCAGCACTTCACAATCATCACAAATTGAATTCCTTTACCGGAAGCAAACACTTGACCTTCATTTAAGTAAATCACAGTTGTGATGGAGTGACCAGCACAGCAGCACAGCACAACAAGAAAACATAATGCAAGACAAAAAAACGAAAAAATTGAGGAGAGGACAATTTACAAGTTGAGCACTGTTTACAAGTACCCTCATTATTTTCAATTACAACGCTTTTCTACATCCGACTGCTATTAGTACAGGAAAAGAATGGAATATAAATACAAAAATACAAACATATATACTTCTCTGTGTATTTCACTTTGCTGTAGCGGTTATGCTCTGCAAAGCATGACAGGTAGGAACCAAGACACTTAGGTTGGGGGAGTGTTCGGTCAACAGGTGCCCCAGAGAGTGACTTGACCAAAAATACTGAGATTTTTAGTATGCACTGGGTTGTGTATTTTTTAGGGCAGTGTTTGTACGGAAGAGCAGACTGCCGCTTATTAACGCTCATAGCTCATAGCCGATTTGCTTTCGTACTTTTAGTTTTCTTTTCACCTTTTTTCTGTATACTTTTTTCTTGACTTTAGCTAACTTTCTCGACAGCCTTGCTAATAATAACCAAAGCCATTTCCTCGTCCACGGCGTTGTCATCGTCGTCTCCAACTACTCTGCGATACCCTTATTTTAAACACGGTCTTACATTTTTCCCAGCACGCACGTATGTGTCTGTATGTGTTTGTAGAGGTAGTTAGGTTTTGTTGGTATAGGCTACTCAAGCGTGCTATGGTTAAGCGGCCAAGGACAAGTATGACCTAGAGTAGTAAAGAGACGCTGTAAATGCACTCTATATATGAGTATGTATGTATGTGAGTACTTTCTGCCGAGTGTAAGTAAGCACTTTCATGTTTTCCTTCTACTCGATCTCATTTTACTCTTGTCACACATACTTCGCTATATGTAGAGCAAGCTGTCGGTCCTTTTTGTCGCTGGCTCGTCAGCACACGTTGCTCTGCCGCTTGCAGCTTGTTAACTTGCTTTATTAAAAATGCTAACCCAAATACCAAGCAGCGTCTGCAGTGGCAGCAACGGCAACAACAGCAACAGCGTAACTAAATTCCACTACGCATCCAGCTGAGGCAACGACCGAGAAACACTAAATTTGCGACCTGATTATGATAATTTCTTAAAATTAAACGTTTCCTCTGTATTGTCGTCACCGTCAGTCACTACCCGCTGTTGCTGCCACTGCCGCCGTCATTTCCCTTATACATTGTGTTTCCCTTAGCCTTAGCGTTAGCAGTGCGCTGTTTTACATAATTTAGTGTAAATTCAACAAAGGTAGTCAGGAATAAGTTCATGCATGTGCGGACATACACCTCAAAGCAGCAGCAGCAGCCGTTGCATAATTTTGCCCTACAACACGCACATAGACACACAAACACAGGCACATACAGAGTTATAGCGTCATGGCAACGGCAACAGCGCCGGTAGCAGCAAACTATTTCAGATATTTGGGTCAAGTTGAACAGTAAATGTTACATAAATTATGTAGCAAGTTCTAGAATCGCTGTGTAACATATAACACTGTATACTGCTGTTTTGGCACACCATCGCGTATGCGCAACTATGGCCGGATGCGTTGACAGTGTTATATACGCAATATAAAAGTGGGTGTGCGTATAGATGTACCTTTCTTCATATATTCGCTAAAACTGTCTCTCACACTATCTCATCCTGTCTTCATTCCAATTTAGCCTAACAATTGACTTGTTGCATAGAAGGTGAGCGGTTCGTTCACTAAAAATACAAGAAGAAAAAGAAGAAGCAGACAAGGAAAAATAATTGTAAACTTATATAGTTAAATTAACAATTGTGCTGCAAGCTTATAGTTAAGATATTTAATATTCAAAAATTTAAAACGATTTAAGAACCAGAAAGAAAAAATCAAAAAGAAATTTGGTAAAATCACACTTTTTTTCTAATAGAAATGTATATAAAACATTTTCAGAAAATACCGTCAAAAAACATTTTTTTAATTTTATGGAATTGTTTAAGATTATTTGTCGAACATCCACCCAAAAATCAAATATGCAACTTTCAAAGAAAATATATATTTAAGAGTTTAAAAAACCTGCTCCGGATATTTCCAAGTTAAATTGCCTGTATTGGCTTGAAATGGGGGAATCAAGAGTTTTCATTCCCAATAAGACAGGGTTATCCATTTTGGTATTACATAATTAAACACTTGTCGAAAAACATTTTTTTTCAAGGGCTCATGAGTTCCACGTAGCTTCACATGAGAAAGTTCAACGGTGTCAAATCACACGATCTCGGTGGCCAATTAAGCCAAGACGAGAGACTACACCACCAGGAAAATTCTATCCTAATAAAGCATACATATCTAAAGTCTAGATCTTCTATTTCTGGCTAAAAAAAAGTCGGTTATCAATCGACTGTAATGCTTCAAATTCACAGTCTCGCCGTTGTCCATCTCTCCAGACCGAAGAGCATATCAGACAGTAAGTTTTGTTTTTGGCTGCAATGGCCTCTCTTTGGGGATTTTCGGTGCACCAAAAGCAATCA